AGAGAGAGAGAGAGAGTGAAGTTTAAATTAGCAATGTTTGAACTAAATTTAAAATGTCAAACGTCATTAAAGTTGCAGGTAAAAAAAAGTTTGGTAGTCTTTAAAGTACAGATGAAATCAAAACTAATCTTGCTAGTTTTGTGGTGAACAATTCATCTGTGCATGGGATTAAGAAAAAAAAAAAACGTAACTTTAATAATAGTATATGTACTTCCGTTTTGGAATAGTAGTTCTTCTCTGATGGCGTCATTTTGTCATTAGCATGGTCCATTGGGCCAGGCCACTAAAACTGTTGGTCTGTTGCAAACCCTGCTCCCTAATGAAATTTTGTTATCATAACTAAAATTATTATCTGCAACAATTTCCGGCTCACACAAACTTGAATAAAATGTCTGGTATATTAATATAAGGGTGTCCGTTCTAGAAATAATACAAATGTATGTATAACTAACTTTAAGGTCACACAAAAAAGGGAACAAGGATCGCTGGAAATCTTTTAAAGATGTTAAGGTTTAGAAATGGTTTGCGGGCGCACAATGGCTATTGCTCTGGCACATCAACGCAAACAAACAACGGCTTATCATAAGCATCTCATCGATGATCATTTACACAGTTGGCATTAAGAAGAACATATAAACGTGATTTGACTAACTTCTAGCAGCTAAATGTGTCTGGGAAAATATTCAAAGGCTTTAATTCTCATAAACCGCGCGGACGTAAATGCGTCTGACTGTTCTGATTGGCTAAAGCAGACGTCTTACGTCAGCACGTTCTAGACGTGCACACGCTTATTCCGGAAATCTTCCTTCTGCGTTCACACAGCGCAGCATTCCGGTAAATTGCCGGTAATGTTACAACTTCTCTTTCCGGAAAATAGCCAGAACGAATTTACCGGTATTTTCAAAAAGGACCTGTTCACACATACAACCTTTCCGGAAAATTGCCGGTAATTTTCCGGAAAGGTCTGTATGTGTGAAAGGGGCTATTGTTTTGAACCTCTAGGCCTGCTCTAAAGAAGCTCTACTTGTTCCTGCATCCGAAGCAGAAGTCAGATTTGAGAATAAGGTTTCAAAACTCGGAACACAATGGAAAAGTTGTAAAATCCGTCCTGCAGACTAACCGCATAGGAATGGAGCCAAAGAAGCAGCTGTTTATGCTGTGAAACAAGATTTGAATAATCTGGGAGGAGATGGAATTTTCACATGGAGTGACTGCAAACTTTATTCATGTGGGTTTGAAAGCAATGTTGCCTAAATTCCACCATCATTTAAAATGCGCAACAAGAGGAACTAACAC